GATCGCTATTTTTTTGGATGCGCACAGGGTAAAATTTTGCTCCTATGCAATAGCTCGCAAATCACATAAGGGAAATAATCTGCATTACGCAAACCCGGTGCGACGAGGTCGATTGAAAAGGCACCTTGTTTTCGATGGCAAGGAGTTTCAAGCTTGAGACCAAGCCCAAATCACTAAAGTTGTAAAATAAGTACTTAATATTATTGAAATCAATATGTCAATAAATATAAAAGGTAGGAAAAACGACCTCATTAGACAAAATACATTCTATCATATATTTTAATTTTATATTTTGTTTCAAATAATTATGTGTTTTAGCATTAATTAAGAGTATCTTATCATATATTGACGAAGATACACCTAGATACATGTTTGATATCAGATATACTAAAATAAGGAGAGAGGCGAAAGAGATAGGAGGGAGATAGTCATGTATCACAGAACTGCGAATTACATTAGATATATGTATATATATATATTCGATATCCAGATTTCATAAGAAGTAGAAAGCGAGATGGTAGAGAAGCTATCTAGATTTGTCTATGTATCCCTACAGATACATGTGAATTCACTTAAATATACTGTATCTAGAATAAATTATACCTAATTTTAACCACATGTATCATGAAATACATTTATCCAGACGAATCCAAATTTGATAATTAAGACTCGTAATATTTCAAACTAGAGTATATCTAATTAATTAGTTCCTAAACTAGTGGGGGGTTTGCAAGTTTCCCTAAAAATTAAATCAAAAATGCTTTTTTTGGGGGGTGGGGTGGGGTGGGGTGAGGGGCACATATATCAGATACATTATAATTTTATTTGTATATAATGTATCTGATACAATTATTGATTACTTCAAACTAATTTATAGTTATGTATCTAAAACATAAGTCATGTATCGGGGGAAGGATCAACGTATCCGTAAGTTCTTAGAAATCCAAAATTATTATAATTTGAAAAACTTTTAAAATTATATAAAATTGACGTCCAAATTATTGAGGTTTTTATACTTTTTTCTTCTTTTTTTTAAAATTGGGGCGGCAGCAGAATCCTAAAGGGCTTGTCGGCCCACGCGTATACCTTATTGGTCTGTTTTAGTGGATTTTGGGGCCCAATTGACCTTTTTCTGCTTTCCTTATCAAGCTTCATGGCTGAAAATTTTAAAAAAATAAAATAAAAAAATATTTCTTCATTACTCCCTCCGTTTTGTAGATCGCAATTGACATATGTCGTAAAATTTAATTAGAAGTATATTTTCTAAGCTCATTTTATTAATGATATTTTAAAATTTTAAAATATCGCATTAATCTTTTGGTTCCGGACTCCATCTTTCTTATCAACTTTACATATTAACCAATATTCATCACATGACTCAAAATTTAGAATAGAAAATGACATTTTCATTTGGTTAGGGTTTGTTGACTCCTTGGATTGATTGACATAGGCAAGCTACTGAGGGATTTTAAACAATATGTCAGTCTTGACTGAATCGGTTGAGTAAGTGATTTTTTACAAGGAAGACTTGATATCGATTTTCCTTATTAGAAGCCTTTTCAATCAAAGCTTATCGTATCAAACTTGTTTAGAACGATTTATATTTCATATAAGATAAAATCGATTTACTTAGTACGCATCCTAATAGGAATCTGACTCGAAACTTAATAGTGCATATACTGCAATTAGAATCACAACACCACACAATAATTGAACTAAAACTTTTAGTAAGAAAATTTGAAATATAAAGTAAGAAATACATTAAAAAGTTATTGGAGATTTAACTTTACTATATAAACATTAATTAGCAATAACTTTGATCTAATATAATATAATTTTTTAACATAAAAAAATTTGGATGAACTTAGTGATATCTAAATTGATTTCTCACCTTGTAATTTTCTCTCAATTTCCTCTTTACCTCCTTTAACTATATACAATAAAATTAAAAGAAAAAAAAAGAATGATGTAAGGCTAACATAATTTCAAGCAAGAGGAATAGTGTGTGGGGTTTTATTCTTCACCTCTATTGACACTTGGCATGACACATTAGCTTTTTATTTTTCCTTCATTCGTTTCACAAAGAATGACATGGTTCGATTTGGCATGGAGTTTAAAAATATAAAGAAGACTTTTAAATTTTACGGTTCTAAATTAAAGTTAGGTCAAATATATATAATAGCAGTTTGATCTTGTGAACTTAAACATGCTACGTGAAAAACTGTAAAAATGTTACCCAAACAAAAGTCATTTTTTTAAAACAGATTAAAAAAAAATGAGGTCATTCTTTTTTAAACGGAGAAAATAATCACTAACAAGGTACGATACTTAATTTCTAAATTTAATTGAGACTTAATTTTATTGTAGTTTTTGAGGGACCAAAAAGAGAGTGGTACATTTCACTAGTCATGACTCATGAGTAATATATTATTATAAGTTTTTTATTATTTTATTATTTTCTTGATTTCAACTATCATATAATATAATATGGTAGTTATTGTTTCTTTCTTTATTATTTTTAGTATGAATTATGTTATGATTTATGAGTGGGTGATCTATCAAAAATAACTTTTTTTTTAAAGATATATAGGAATAAAATGCATAATAATCATAATTTATTTTATTTTTTCAAACACAACAGCCAATAAAAGATTGACATTCTCAAGAACCATTACCCCAATTAGAACCCCACAAAGATAGATCTATGTATAGTGTACAAGATATAGAGTTTATAGCTCTTTATCACTTTCCAATTTTTAAATTCCACCAAATTTGATGTCCATTTGTGTGAGAACAATTTTTTCAACACATCACCAAATATGATATAAACATTTCACAAGAATCATTATTTATTGGACCATCTGATGGTGAATCTACAATTTAGACGTTAAACTTATTTTTCAAATATATGTACATTAAATTCGATTAAAATATATTATTCTTTTATTAAATTAATTAACTCAACATTACCCTCAAAAATACAAACACGAAACCAAGACTTAGGATGAGAATATTCCATTTAATATGTGTATTATATAAGACGTCATTATTATATGTGACCTCATAAATTGTATTGATTTATTCTAAATATTTCATTTTAATTGAAATTTGGTATGAATTATTCTTTTTCCCTTTTTTTTTCTAGTGGAGGAGTAATGGGGGTTTGAAGAACTACTCATTCCATAGTATATTATCCATTTAATATTATATGTACAAAACCTTATCCTTAGGTAGCATATTATGTGTTTCTACATTCTTCTTGTTTTGTTGTCAAAGTGTACTAATACCATTAGAATTAAAAGTACTCATTGGAAAAGAAAAATCTCTCTCTATATAAACGTATATATAATTCTGGTGTTCAGATCAATTTTGATACACATCGATTAAGTCTATGAAGTATCTGTCTGACTAACATAAATACATATACCTATTTTTTAAGATTTAAGTGAATGAATAGAAATCAACCTAATTAAGACACATGTGTACTCCATTCCTTTTTCATTATTATAAGCTTTAATATGTGGTCACCATTTTCTTGATTGGTTGAGTGGTTACTTGTTTCAATCATTTTTTAACACCTTGCTTTAAGAATTTGGTGAACATTTTTGGAGTTTGTTAGGATTGCTACATTAGTTGAAGCTTTTTGGATTTGTTAGGATGTTGACTTAAGTGGGCAAATATTCTCCAATTGCAAAGAGTTTCATTCACTAAGTCTTAGAAATTATATTACTTTATCCATAAATAATTACAATAACATAAAACTAATATGGTGCACTTAGGATTTATCTCATTGGATGCCACTTTGAAATAACATGTCACAAAAAAAAAGAAACATAGGCTTTTCAACATCATCTTTTTCAAGATTTAAGCATGTTCAATTCAATAAAGTTCTACTGAAAATAATTTGCCTCCCATTATTACTCATGATTTATCAAGTTATATATATACATGATAAACAAGAAGAACTTGTTGTTCTTTTGTTAATTTTGTGGTTAGTGATGATTGGAGGTGGGGTGGATATAGTGACGGAGCCAGAAATTTCGTTACGAGTGTATTAACATGGGTTGTGGTGCATTGGTGGAAGTGTTTCACCCTTTATTAGAGGTCTTGGGTGCGAGCCGTAGGTATGGAGAAAATCTTGTTGGAGCGACACTCCTGAATAGGCCCTGTAGAGCGCGATTTGAATTTAGTCAGAGCTCCAATATGAACTTCGAACACCGAATAAGAAACCAAAAAATGTATATAGTATAATTTTTTGACGAAGAATGTCTGCTGACCACCCTGACTTCCTGGTGGGGTGGGGGACAAATGTATAATTAAAGACACATGTGTGACATATGCATGTCGCCACATTTTTGTTGCATAAATTAAAGTTTTAATTTGATTTCTGTGAAGTTATGCTAAGGTATAAAATATTAATTTCAAGAAAAAGACCCACTTATAACTTCTGCTACAATTATGTACATTGTCATTAATTAATTCAATAAGGGAGGCATTTGGTAGCAGATTAGGGGTTGAGTTACACACGTACTAAATTTTATAAAAATAATATCACGTTTGATGATTGAAAAGAGGTAATTTAAGAACTGTTCACTTTGAATCGACGTATTATTATTATTGGCGAGTACGAAACATACAATACTATATCCTGTAATTTAAAATAAATTATAAATAGACTATATAAAACCTTTATGCCAAGTTGGAAAAACTAAATGTGATTCCATTTTTATCATGTTCCAAACAGACCAGACCAAAATTATGCACAGGTGCTAATAGTTAAACTACGCACTAAGGATTAAATGTTCTATGGCATCTCGCTAACAACATACAAGGTCCCCTACCTAATAGGGATAGACAGGCTGTTCCAAAAAGACACTCGGAACAAGCTCCTCTACATAGTAATAAAAATAAAATATGATTGAACAATTTTCTATAAAATTGCTCATCTGTAATTCCTACAAAAATCAATTTGTAAACCAAATGATTGAACAAATAAAGCAAACATTGAAGTTCAATTTTCTCACCATATTCACTTTTCCAAGCAAATGCTTTGCTAGTTAGTTCCAGATCCATGGTTAATACTTGGACGGACACAAACAAAATAAAGCAACAAAGCTACCATATAGTCATTATACTAACTCACATCGACGTTCTACTATTCATGTTACAAACCATTAAAACCAAAAACTAGCATCCTCCGAAAGTATCAGAAAAAAAATACTATAGCAGTCAGCAAACTTTACAGCAAATGTTCTTGCAGTTCTTGAAAGTGCACCACTGTATTAGGTTTGCATAGCATCTGCACTAGCATGATAGTTTTCCAGCTCCTTGTCAAGATCTTCTGCCGACTTCTCAACGCCATTCTTCCTACCCCTACCACCACGACCGCGTCCTCCACGTCCACGACCGCGGCCTCGTCCTGATGCATTACCCAAGCCACCGTGGCCCCTTTGACTATACAATGAGATTTAAAAAGTATTTCAGAAAAAACAACAAATTGTTTAACAAGTGCGGTGTGATTCAGATCTTAAAACTTTCAAGCATCTCTTTCCTTAATCAAGGGATTCATCTAATTGGTTTGTTTCCATAATTAACATTTCATTCTGATGCAATGATCACCTACATTTGCTCGTATATTTAACTTCAACATAGACATGTGTGACCGTTAAGTATAAAACATGTTAAACTTTTGAACTCCCAAAAGTAACACCAAGCCATATCCACATCAAAGGTACGCTTGATTAGACCATCAAAAAGGAATCTCTTGTTTTACATGGCATTACATAGTAAATAAGAAAGAGATTGCACTACCAAAAAAGAAATAAGCTGTGTAGCTTATGTTTTATGAGATGACTTCAGAACTTGCAACAAAAATTGGATGTCAAAGCTCCAGTAATGGAACGATAATCATCCATTGAGCTATGCAGATTAAATATTCCACTATCCAATATCTGTTAATCATCAACTTTATTAATTGACTTAAAAGACAAAATCCACCATTCTACTAATAAATAGCCTTCAGTTGTCTCCGACCAAACATGTCTAACCTCCCAAACACAACTCAGTAACCACACATCCATAGAATAAATAACTGTGCACGTGAGAAACTCACCTTGAACCACGATTAGCAGCAGATGCACCACCCCTTCCACGAACTGAGCCCGGCCTGCACAAGACATAAGTTCTCACTTTAACTTCCAAAATTATACTGAACACATTTCACCCACAGCAGCAGCATAATACTTTGGAGAACAATATTCCTATAAGATTACCCCAGCAATCAAAACTACCACATCCTGCTAAAAACTAATGCAAATGACTCCAACGTCAAATTTCAAAAAATTGACTTAGTGAACCTGGCAAAGCTATAAAGAGGCTAAAACCAAATTATCTGCAGTATTTGCTATTTAGCGATAGCCAATACGAGTGCAAAATATTCTAAAAGTGAAATGGGCGTTGATGCTACATCAGAGTCTATCAGACAAACATGGAGCTCACACAGACATAGAGGTACGAAGAGAGCAAAATTAATACAACGTACATCATGACAACAGTCCTCCTTCCATTTGCTCGTCCAACATCTACACGAGCTGATAAAGGAATGTCCGGTTTGGGAGCAACAATTTCTATCTTCATAGGTTTCCCATCCAACTGAACATTGTTGTATCTTTTAAGTGCTTGATATGCATCACTCCTCCTGGCGAAAACCACCTCAGCTGAGCCCTATAAGGGTTCAATATTTTCCATCATTAGTAACTAAAAAACTATATAAGCATACTACAAAAACAATTGGACTGTTGAATCCAAAACAAGCAATAACTGAGAGGCCAATACAAGGACAAAAGACGCAGCAAAAGAGATAGCTCGAAAAAAAAATCAGTACCACAAACTAACAGAAGATGATAAAAGCAGAACTACATTGATAGATTGTGTAATACACAAGAATATAATTGGACAGAGATGATAATAAACGGGTTGATGTACAAACAACCAATGCTTATACTCTAGTGGTATCTGTGAGGGTCTTCTACATGGTAGGCGTGGGTTCAACTCAAACTACACCTTATACCATATCCCTTCCACAATTCCTCCGTGATTAGAAGTCTTCTACATGGAAGGCAAAACTGATTAAAAGTTTGACTAGTAATTTTCTCATCAAATTCAAGACACTAATATTCAATTTACTTTATGAGAGTTATCTCATGCCTACCTACGAACAGATAAATGCTGCCTTAACCACACTGCAACTTCAAACAAAATGATATCCACTCCATCTCAAATAGTAGATGTGGTAAAATGCTTCAACACAACGAAATTATATCAAGATAAGAGCTCAATAGCTCAGCATGAGAAAGGCTCTTATTTAGAAAGTGATACATTAAAAGTTGAAAGCAGCTCCCAGAAGCGGATCTAATGTATTACTTTGACATACTGAATAATTGAGGCCCATCCTTTAAGGGGACAGTTTGAGGTAATATAGGATGCAGGTTAAAACAATAATTTCTGAAACATTCATATGCAGAAAATTGTTTCCAATATACATAAGTTTACTGATGCAACTAGATATTTCATAAGTCTTGTAAGCCCCACCCCCATGCCATAATTGAATTTCTTATGATAAAAACTCAGAAAATGCATTTCTAAGCCACATCAAACTTCAACCCTGCGGGGACTTTCCAAAACCTGTTGGTAACATTGCTAGAAGCTATCATAATTTTTTTTCTCTTCCTCTTACATGCTGCAACTCCAATCACTTGGAGTACCCTATTCTGTACATCATTAAGCCCATACTGACATGTAATACAATTCCCTAGTTAGGAAGCAGGCAGGATATTTATCACCAATTGATGAAGAACTTGTGCATGTGATGATCAGGTGGCCTGAGTTTATAGTAAATGAAAGACTCTGATTCAAATTAGTGAAGATCAACTTACACTTGGACGTCCATTTTTGTCATAGTGGATAGCATATCGTATCAGTTCACCCATCTCGGCGAAGAGTTCCTGTGTGGAAAGTCCTTTTATAACAGATCTTGAAAGATATCCATTGAAAAACAGTATATATGTAAAGGACATGCTCAAGGTATACCCTTATATCTGAATTTGTCACTCCGACATCCAAGTTAGATACATACACCTTAGTGCCACTCTCTAACCCTGACGATATCCCTGCAGCTCTAAGACTATCTTCAAGCAAACCATTCTGCCATGGCAAATTCTTGGTTCTGTGGAAAGACTGAAGCAAGAATGTCCAAAAGATATCCAGGTGGAAAGTTAAAAATCATCATACTACCAAAAAATAAGACAAATAACCATTCTTCAAGATTAAATCAGATATCATCAGTTTCCCATCGAACTAGGGAGGAGTTTCTTACGTCGAATTGCTCAAAAAACAATGTAACCTAACAGAGAAAGGGGAATGAACTATGCAGAAAAAGTGTTGGTGGAATGGAGGATTTGACCAACTGCACATCAACACATCCTTAAACAAAAGGTGAGAGCTCCACTTAAGATGTTCAGTGAATGAAGCCACCTTTGCAAAAAAGACCATGGAATAGATTGTAATAGAAGATCTTGACACTGTAGCAGTTCCACATATTGCAGTAGGATCCATCACGAGAATTGCAAACTCCCTTTTATACCAGTGGTGAGAAACTAGAGCAATAGCAATTAGACAATGAGGACAAGAGATGGTAAAGAAAGTACAACCCTCTAGATGTTATGGAAATTAAATGTTGAAATCTCTTTAATTTTTCCAGTTATTGAAGCACCTTTTGCAACATGCTACAAAGAAGTCATGTATGCAAGAACAGGGCCACCTGAATATCCCATTTTATCAAAATCCATTGCGAATTCCTCGAGGAAACGCCATTCAAATGAAGAAGTTCAAGGATCATCGATACTTGCACTACCATTTTCAATAGCTTATTATGGCTGTACAAAAGCGGACTTTCTCTTTGGGCCAAACGTATCAATATCTCTTGTATGTCAATTCTAAAGCAAATATATGACAATCCTCAGTTTGATTTTTTAAGCATATCAAATTGTCTAGGAAATGCAAAAGACTCCGACAGTTTTATGCTTGCCTTGGCAATTCTGTTGGCAGATGGCCGAGCATTTACACCAAGTGCCCCTTTACGAAGAGCTCCTGTTGTTCTTCCACCTCTAACTGATCCTCCTTGCCCTCTTCCTCGTCGGGCCCTGCCTTGTCCCCTACCTCCTTTCTCATTATTTCTCCTACTTTTTATCATATCATCAAGAGACATATCCAAGGAAGCCATGAAGTATGCAGGACAATAAACCAGCAGCAAAACAAACAGTCTGTAGGCAAGAATAAAAATAGTAATAAGTATTTGTTAGTAAAAGTGAAACCAGTGCAGAGAATGGAAGAAACATAGAAACTAGAACTTGAACTTCTGGAACCATCCAGAGCAAAATAATCAGAATACACTAACTAACAAGTTAAGAAAATACATACTCAATCAACACTACAAATGTCAGATATACAGCTCAACCAGAAAATTGTGAGTTCTTAATAAATAGGCAAAACACAGGTGATCAGTACATTGGACAGCATCGTTGACAATGTGAATTTTATATCAACAAAGTAATCCAGTAATTTCAGTACAGATCAGTAATAAAAATGCATATAGATAATAAAGCCAAAAAATACATAAACCAATTATTAGTTAGTACATCTGCAAAACTTGTAGACAAATATTGAACAACCACAGATCAACAACAACATACGCCGTTTATTCCCACAAGTGGGGTCTGGGGATGATAGAGTGTAATGTTCGGGTCCAGACCTAACCCCTACCTCATGGAGATAGAGAGGCAGCTTCCAAAAGACCCTCAGCTCAGGCAACACATAACAGGACAGTTCGAAAAACACAACAAAGAGGTAGAACAAGGCATAGCAAATAATAGGGGAAAGCTAACAGACCATACCAAGCAGAAAAATGTGACAAAAAAAGCACAAGAAACAACAGGTAGTAGCATTAATGAAAGAACAATAAACTAAGCAAATAATGCCTCTACTATCTACCCACATGGCCATATTAGGTCTCTATATTCAGTTTCTCGCTTGTTGAGGAAAACTTGTAGCCATGGATGCAAGAGGTTATAAATAAAACAACAATAAGCAACGGGGGACAACCTCAACTACCTTCTACCCTCAAAGACCATGGCCATATTGGTTCTCTATATCCAATCTCTCGCTTGTTGAGGAAACTTGTAGCCATGGATGCAAGAGATTATAAGTCAAACAGCAATAAGCAATCCGCCTCCAATATATACAGAATATGAATTAGATCCATGAAGAACTAGGACAGAAAGAAGGAAAGAACATCAAACATGATCTAAACACACACAGAGAAATACGTAAATCTGCAAATCAGCACACAGGTAATTCATCCATAACAAAACTTGAACCTTTATAACCTATGCTACATGAACTCCCCAAAACGGGTCAAAATCAGACCCTGATGCTTAAAAACCCATATGGGTATCTGCAATTTTTAGCTAATTCATAATAAATTGAACAATCCGCATACAACAATACAAAAAAACGACCAAATCTAACAAAAACGAAAAACTAAGTCAAAACTTACCAAGATCTGAAGCAAAAGACCGAAAATTGAACGAATCTGGGAATCGTGGAGCGAGATGAAGAGAAATACAGGAGAGAAAGGTGAGGATGATGGGGAAAAGTGTAAAAATTGATGTTTTTGATTGGGAAAATTGCAAAGATTTGAACTTTTTGATGGTAAAGATTGAATTTTTTTTTCAATGGGATTGAAAAAGATTTGATCTAGAGGGAGATCTACAAAGGAATTTCTGGGTGAAGATTGAAATTTGCTAGCAGCTTTTAGGGATTTAGTTTTTGGTGGCCAATGGAAGAAAAGTTAATAAGTATTAAGGAATTCTATAGGGGGTGGGGGGTCAGCCCATTATTGAAAGATGGGCTTTCTGATAGGCCCAAATTTATATTTGTTATCTTTGGTCGATTATTGCATTATTTTATTGGTGGTGGTGTGACTGATTTTTTTTTATGAATGATATGTAGTGGTTTTTTGTGAGTTATTGTGTTTTTTATTTTTCTTTTCGTAATTGGTTTGATTTGTTTCATTGAGTTAGAGGATTTTACAAAAAGAATTTCTGCCTTAATAAGATAGGACAAGATTTTAATATATTTTACTTTTCTCAGATATTATTTACAGAATTACACTGTATATATTGTCAGTTTTTTTTATTTTTTTTGCATTACTACTCCTATTTTGAGATAGTCGTTAATTGCTGAACTTTAATTTTTTGGAAATTTTTATAAATAGTCACCATATTAAACTTAATTATGTTGCATAGTACAACATATTTACATGTTATAGCTACATTTTAAGTAGTTTTTCTTTTATAATTAGTGTGTGTATAATCCACAATTTATACACTCAAAATAAGGAATTTATACAAACACAAACATTCAAACTGCGAACAATTATACGAAATTACATTATACAAGCTCGAAAACCTGATCCACATAATTATCACTGAATGTTAGTCATAAAATAACTAATTAATTAGTATACGTTCGGTTAACCACATAATTTTCCCTTAATTTGGGTCTACCATTGTTAACTGTTTTTGTTGTTGTTTGGGCCTTAGTTGCTAGGTTAGGGCCCAAAATGTGCAAGTAGAGATTCTGTTAATTTGGGCCTTG